CCTATCAACAATCCTACTCTCTACCAGGAACAGTTAAGGAAGATTTAGGCTGCACATCAGACGGACTCATTTTTGTTGCACCCCTATCCTTACAAGGAGAATATTTCTGTGACACATCAAATACGATTTCAACCCCAACGACCCCATTTATACAAGAACTACGTAACAAAATAGCATGGTTGAAATACACACCAACATGACACGGCATAAAAGATATACAAAAAACCTTCAACCTGCGAGTATATTTTTATACCTATGTGACACTATTTAGCTATGGTAATTGGCAAACTAATTAACCATAGAAATTAAAACAGAAAATACTTAAGGCGGAAAGAAGTTATCCCGAAAGATATACCATTCGATGTTGAAAAGATTTTATTTTATTTACGAAAAAGATAATTTTCACAAAAGACAGTAAACCCGTAGAAAAAGCCATATGTGAGATGTTATCAAATTGATTAATATTGTTGTAAAGAAGTGCCTTGCTGAGAGAAATGGGAGAATTCGGGAAGATAAACAAAGCATTAAGATATCAGGCGGACCACATGGTGGTCATAACAATTTTGGCCTGAGACAATTGCCGATACAGGAGAGGGAGAATCAATATTAATTATCTTTCCAATATATCACTTTTTTCTTGAGTGCCGGCAAGGAAAGGCAATATGGTGATTATAAAATTTTGGCATTTGTCTTGATATGGGTGGAGAGGACCGTTATTATTTACTTTACCAAGGTGTCACTTTCAGACGCCAAGACGTTGACGATATGGCGATTGTAAAATTTTGGGCAGGAGAAAAGATAGCGTGGAAGAATTGTGATTTGGTGAGAGAAAGAATTTAATTTCTCAAGAAGCCAAGCATTCCAGTATAAGCTAACTTCATGAAGGGAACAGATGGCAAACTTTGATGGTGATTGATGGAATTGGTAAAGAGTACTGGCTAAGTGGATTCTGAGTGACCAAAAGATATGATTGATTTTAAGTGGCAATATCGGATTCATAAAGATTTTGGCCAATGGGAAAAAGGAGAATTTTGTAAACAAAAATTCTGAGTTATAATTTTAAGGAGATGCCATTCGTTGAGTGGTAGCAATGGTGATAGGCGGAGGTGAATGGATGAGAAGGACAGAGAAGTTATTAACGCCCACTGAAGGGATTGGTATGAGATATCAATGTGAGAGAGGAAGAGTTTAGGAGGATAGCTCACCTCCGACCTCCTCTCACGGACGAGGGAGACCCCCACAAAATGGAAAGTGATTAATTTTCCAAAAATGGGAAGTAATCAATTTTCCTGGCCTGACAACAAAGAGATTTCTTGTTGGGAATCGAGATTTACCGAGAACTCCAGGCTGCGCCTGGCCCTGCACCGGGTTTTGGTCGGCACCCATATAAACGAACGTCCTCAGGCCGTTCGAGAGTCGAGTACAGTCGAGTCAGTTCAGTTCGAATAGCGAGAACCAAAGTGTTGCTTCACAGAAGCTGACCGAGAGATTCCACGACCTCCGACTTTTCCTACCCTACCAATAGCAAGTTATACTGACGAACGAAGCCAAGCCAGCACCTAAGAACTAAATCAGTTGACTTAAGATACCAAAACTTGCTTGAAACGTAAAAGTGTCTCATTCCGTAGAAAACGGGCTGGGAGAGAAACACACTCCTGTATATAACAGACGGATAAAGTTAATTTGTTGGTTTTTAACATACTTGAACCTTTTGGGTTTTTCTTTTATTTGCTTCTTTTTCTTTACGCTTGTGCGATATCACCTTCAATCTGACTCAGCTTATACTACGGACCGACGCCTGATTGATCTCGTCTACCTAAAATCAAAATCACAACGCGGGTAGGTTAGACTTGAGATTGAAGCAGTTACTTCGGTAACCAGACGTTGGAAGTGAGCTGGGACGTGACCACCGATATCTATCGGTGGTCACGGCTGGGAACGACAGAGCTGGTATCGACCCGGTACAGCTGGTGTGAAACCGTTAACATCGACAATCAGAATTCGACCCTGGAAGGGCCGGTGTCACATATTGGTATCCTGACAAAGGGATTCCGCCGAGTAGCGACGACCACCGATCGACCGGGACATAGGCTGGTGGCAGCGACTAAGAGTTAACCCCAAAACGCCGATGGAAGAAACATGACAGCTTCGCGCCGCGACTGGGAGTTGACCACGGGCCGACAACACAGTGTCACACCTAACGACGCAGTTAAACGACCATTCACGGCCAACTACCAAGGTTACTTCAACGTTATCAGCCGAGCTGATAAAATCCATCACAGTCAGCCAATATTACAGACACCATCGCTATCGACAAGACCAAGTCAGCATTTCTGGAAAAGACATCACCAATCCCCAAGCAACGAAAAACTGTCCTTCTCAGCACAACGCTCTTCTCATCCTCGACATGAACATGCAGACATAATTTAACCCTAACCTTATTTTTTATTGATGTATTTTCTTTAACGAAAATAAACTTAGCAATATATTGCTTTAGTCAAGTCTTCGTTTTGTTTGTCGTTGTCTGCCGTCATTCAGTATCATGTTTGCGAGCCAATATACCACCCGCAACAAAGGAATATCGGCAGATGGCAAAATGGTCATAAATTATTCTAGTTATTAATGATGCTTTCAAGATATTTATAAATTGTTTTAAATGTTTATTTCTGCTTGACCAAACCTCAGATAAAAAATAAAATTGTAGATTTGAGAAGAGAACGAATTATAGTGATGTGAAGAAAAACTTTAACATCTTCAATTAAGATTTGGCGATAGCAAAATAATAACTGGTGCAAATAACAGAAGCCACATCACTTGAGGACTTCCAACAGAAGCAACAACTTCATTCTGTTCAGTCCAAATAAATATCTTCACTTCATAAAATACTGAAGGTATTACAAAATGACCCCCCTTTCAAACAAAAACAGAATCGTTAGACATTTAGTCAAAAGTACTATGTTATCGAACTGGAGGGGGTCGATCCCAGCGTGCAGAACCTTTGGAAAGTGCCTGAAAACCATACCACGGGTTGACCCAAGCATTGTGAGTGAAATTGGGTAAACGGAACCCTTGGGGGCCGTCGATAGCTGTGCTAGCACGAAGTTACAAGTCATCGTGGCCGATGGCTAGAGAGCGCTGGCCTTGTTCAAATTGGTAATCATGCTAGATAACATGCTCTCTCCCAGAAACTGTAACTAATGTCTTCTCAGTATAGTTGCCGTATAAACCACAGGTGGGCTCTGTGGATGTTGAGCAAATACAAAATGTTCCTGAGCGAGCGTCTACAATGGGGATTGGCTAACCGCCCTAATAGACGAGTATCTTCGAATACGAGTGGCCAGCTGATATTATATTCCAAATTTAATGCAATTTGGGACATTTCTAAATAAATAAACGACAAATTTTGTCTGTCTGTCCGTCCGTGTGTCTGAACATTCTCAGGCCACACTTGCTCTACATAGACATTTTCTAACTTTTTGGAATCAGGATGATCCCAGGATTAAAAATCCGCCCTTCATCTGGTGCTTGAACATCCAGCATTGGGATTTGTGTCCGGATGAGGAAGGAGCAGTTATAAATTCAAATTTTAAAACATCTGAAAAAAAAAATCTATCGATTTTAAAAGTTTTTAATTTACATTGAGTTTTAAAGTAACACAAAAATATCGTGAATTTAACAATTTTTGTTTTAAATTCAGTTTAAAATATTTCCATATCTTGGGGAAATCAATTTTATTTCTTCAAAATGCCAAGGAATCAGAGTTAAAGTAAGAGGTTTCATGACGCGAGCTTTTGAAGTTCCGCAGAGTTTGTGATTTGAAGAACTTAATTTTCGGCCTGAATTGGAATTTCGGCTCAAATCGGAGTTTCGACCCAAATCGATCTTTTGGCCGGAATTAGACTTATAGCCTGAATCACAGTTGAATGGAGTTTTGAAGTTCCTTGGAGTGAACTGAGGAATTCAAAGTTATTTCTTCAAATTATCATTGCTGCTTTTATTTTAAACTGGACCAGATGTCCATTTAGTTGGGACCAGAGACCCAATTAGCCTTCCGTTGGAGCTAGCTTAAAAGCATGGAGTGCGGCCTTTAAGCTAGTTTATAATAAAAGTATTTTTCAGATGTTAATTTCAGTATAAAATACAAATTTAAAAAGAATTTAATAAAAAATCATAAAAAGAAAAGATAAAATTATACTTTATATTTTTATGACATTCAATTTTTTTTTATCATTCAATGTTTCTAAAAGTATTTCTTTTGCTTAAGTATCTGTAACTATATACACTTATAAAGAAGAAAAATTAGTTTAGTCTACATTTTTACATGTTCAGTAAACAAGAAAATATCAAATTTAAAAGAAGTCTTCTTTTCTTGCAATTCATAAAAAAATAACGCAAGTAAAAGTTTTTTTTTTTCTTAGAGATTTTTTTTTTTCATTTCACATTTCTGTCCATCACTGACTCATCTTCTAAAAGATGCAATTCTGAAATTCTCAATCCTGAGTTTCTCTCTCCTTTTTTTTTAATCCTGCAAATTTATAATTCCTCAGATTCCTATTTCGTGAATTCCTCATACTGGACATTTCATAAGTTCATTAGACAATTTTCCTTTGAAACCAATTTATGGAATATCAAAAGCAGAATTAATGGGGAAAAGATGAAGTTATATTGAGATGAGTCATTAATTAAATTACATTCTTTTAAAACTGTGAATTATTTTAGAAGATTGCATAAAAAAATTGAAACCAAAATTCTTTGTAAAAAAAAAAACAAACAAAAACAAAGTTAAATTTCAATATCAACACAGGATTACATATTTTTTTTATTAACTAAAAATTGTGCAAAATGCGGGATGTTTGCACCTCTTCTAAACATTTATTCGACTATGCACCGAAGTTAAGCAACGTCGAACCTGGTCAGTACCTAGATGGGTAACCGCTTGGGAATACCAGGTGCTGTAAGCTGGGGTATGCGAGGTGTCTAACGGGCTTACATCCCTTCACGTTGAAATACTAGTTCCCGTAAGATCATCGAAGTTAAGCAACGTTGAATCTGGTCAGTATTTAGATGGGTAACCACTTGGAAACACCAGGTGCTGTAAGCTTGGATGTGCGAGGTGTGTAACGGGTTTACAGCTCTTCATGTTGAAATACTAGTTCCCGTAAGATCTTCAAAGTTAAGCAACGTCGAATCAGGTCAGTACCTAGATGGGTGACCTCTTGGGAACACAAGGTGCTGTAAGCTTGGATGTATCGGTGGTGTAATAGAAAATGGTTCGGAATAGTTGAAGAGCCAAGTTCCAATTCCCGTTTGGTTCGTTATATCCACTTACGTGCAAATACTCTTGGAAAAACTATGAATTCACCTCTTCTACCCCCAGCTATGGGTTAATTATTAACATTTGTATCACTAAATCATTACCTAAAAAAAAATCTTACAATTTAAAAATATTTTCTGGCTTTAAATAACCTGCAATGGGTTGCTTAGCCGTAAAAAAACAAATCAATCAATCGTCCATGCACTGAATATTTCTGCCACACCTGGTCTAGTGTTTCTGCTAACTATGTAGAGATTCTTGCTAAAATACAAGAAAGAATCTGCAACATTATTGGCCATGACTTGGTATCTTAGCTTCAGTCACTTTCCGACCGCCGTACTGTAAGTTTCCTGTGCTTTTTCTAAAAATATTTTCATGGTAATTGTTCTGATAAGCTTTCCTCTATGGTAACTAGACTTTATAAATTTAAGTGCAGTACTAGATTGGAACAAGGTCTCCTCATTTTACCGTTAAAATTGCCAGTTGTAACCGTAAGTTCTATGCTAACAGTTTCTTCTCTCGCACTTCTCACTTGTGGAACTCTCTTCTGGCTTCTTGCTCCCCAGTCAACTTTGATCTTCAAAAATTGAAATGCAATATCAATTATCTTAATTAATGTTCTTTTTTGTTCTCTCTTTTCAATAGTGTTTTTCACTTTCTCTCACAATCAGTAACCTTGTGTATCTTAGTGGCTTTATTGCCTTGCTTGGGATGAAATGATTAAAATAAAATTTTATTTAATTATCCTCTTCTCAATTTAACAAAAACCATGAGAAAATTTCACAATGTAATTAAGCTTTGTCTTTGGAGTGAAGAATATTCAACAATATTTAATTTTTCCAAAAGCTTTTAGTTTCAAATTATGATAATGAATTATGTCCACTCCTTCTACAAGAGCTCCTGGTACCATGAAACCCAGTACTACCTGCCACATGGTCAGGTCATCGGTGACTAAACCATTTCCACACCAGGCTTTTCTGTGACTGAGGCTAGTTAAAATCTCAGCAGAAATAAAAACAAGATTTGTCAAAGAGTGGATGACACTTCTTGTAGGTTCAACAACCATCTACCATAATGGTCTAAACTGAACTCCAGTATGGTGATGACACTGCATTGCTGGGCAGAGGGCATCCTAGACTGAATTCAGCAGTTAAAACAAAGGGACCTCCCAAAAGAATCAACAGTCTCATGTCTGTGACTAAGGTGAGTCTTCAAGTTGGAGGATATTGACTTTGGTTTGACCATGGAGAGGGATGGGTTCCGACAGGTCTACTAAATACCTCTCTGGCTTTCAATCCAGATATGTGGAGGAAACTGCTGCTGCTGCTGTTGATGCCACTGTTGCCACCCACAGATCAGTGAAATGCAGTATATAAAAACAATTTTTTTATTACCATTTCACCCCAAATAAGCCAATAAAATCACTAAGATACAGGGGGTTACAGAGTGTAAAAGAATATAAGAAAAGGAGAAACATTATTAAGGAGTAAGAACAATAAAAGAACAGGAATCAAGAAAAACAGAAGATAACAATTGACATTGCATTTAAATTTTTAAAGATCAAAGTTAACTGAAAATCAAAAACCAGAAGTGAGTTCCACAAGCGAGAAGTGTGACAGAAGAAACTATTAGCATAGAACTTACGGTTACATTTAGCCAATTCAACTGTGAAATGGTGAGACCTTGCTGCCAATCTGGTATTGCATTTAAATTCATAAAGTCTAGTTACTATGGTGGAAAGCTCATCAAAACAATTACCATGTTAGTATTTATAGGAACAGTACAGGGAAGCTATGTTACAGAGGTGGGAAAGTAGCTGAAACCAAGATGCCAGATCAGGACCTATGATGTTACAGATTCTTTTTGGGATCTTATTGATAATCTCTAAATATATAGCAGGAGCACAGTTGTGGAGATGAACACACCTCTCCAGAATATGACTTGGACTTGTCTAAATATCATATATACTGATGCCAAAAATCATCAGCAGAGCTAGTCGGGAGTGGGCCTTATATTCTTACTACAGAATTCAGTAAGACTATGTTGACTCCAAGTGACATTATATTTTATGATTGTATTATCTTCATTCATTAGAATGAAGACATAACAAGCACCAGACCAGATGTGGCAGAAAGATTCAAAGCAGGGATGCGTGGTAGATTTATAAAAATGTATAATAATATGAATAGATATGACAAACTCTTTTAGCTTTGGTAGATTGATATTGGAAAACCAAGTTTATTTTTTTATTTTATTTTTAAATTATTTCACCCCAAGCAAGGCGGGAATTCTGCTAATATGCAGGGGGGGGGGTGAAGAATACATTAGTGAGAGAAAAGACTGTGTATAAGGGAGACTGAGGAAAGGATAAAAGATGATTCAAGAAGATAGAAGATGGTGATTGACCTTGCATTTAAGTTTTTTAAGATTGTAGTTATCAGAGAAACAAGTAAGAGGAAGGGAGTTCCCCTGTTAGGAAGTGCAAGAAAAGAAACTGTTGGAGTAGAAGTGGTGGTTACATTTAACTATTCCAACAGTAAAAGACTGGGATGACCTAGATACCAATCTAGTAGCACACTTAAATTCATATAGTCAGGGAACCAGGGAAAAAAGCTCATCAGAGCAGTTGCCATGAAAATATTTGTAGAAAAGACAGAGGGAAGCCACATCACGTTGGTGAGAAAATGACTGAAGTCAAAATGCCAAGTCAGGATCAATTACATTGCAAATCATTCTTTGGATTTTCTCCAGAAACTCGAGATGTACAGCAGGAGCAGCTGACTAGATATGGCAACAGTATTCAATGCATGGACGAATGGTAGAATTGTAAATCTAACCTGATATCTACAACCTTCAAAAATTTAAATGCAATTTCAATCGCCATCTTCTTGAATCCCGTTCATTTTTTGTCCTTTCCTCAATCCTCCCTATTCTCAGTCTTCTCTTTCACTTTCACTCCCTGCGCACTAGTAGCATTTCAGCCTTGCCTGGGGGGAATTAAAAAATTGCTTGAGTGATTTTAAAAAACATAATGGCAAGGAAAATAAAAGAACAGCATTCAGGAAGACAGAAGATAGGGATTGGCATGGCTTTTAAATGTTTGAAGTTTGTATGTAGCAGGGAAGCAAGTGCTCCACAGCTGAGTCTGTGTGAAAGATCTTCCTATCCACTCAGTTATTTTTGTCAGCCTATTTTCCATCTGTCTTGCCTCTTCTTTTACATAAGGTGGTACCTTTGTCAGATTGCAGTGGAAAGATTGTTGTTGGCTATTATGACATGGAATTTAAAAGGTTACCTGTTGGTAGTATTTTAGGTGTGTGTGTTCATATATAAACAATTAAGATAGAAGCATACAAAAACATGTGTTTCTAATACAGACTGTTTATTCTCTTTCTTTATATAAACTGTAGTGAGACAAAGTTATCAATGTCTCTTGAGTATGTCTGTTTTCTTTTTAATGGTCATGCTCAAGTCAGTCTTGTACAGAGTTGGAGCGACCAAAGAAATGTTTATACTTACTTCATTGTTGATGGGTTTAAGCATGATTCTAGTATGTCCATTTTCTTTTTCTTGGCCCAGAAGTTAGGATAAGGAAAAGCAAGATTATAATGGTCATGCTCAAGTCATCCTTGTACAGAGTTGGAATGACTAAAGAAAAGGTTGTACTAACTTCATTGTTAGAGCATTTAAGCATAGTTATAATGGTTGAGCTCAAGTCAGCTTTGCACTGAGTTGGAACAACCAAAAAAAAGGTTGATTTACTTCATAGGTGGTTGTTTTGGAAGACATGGGTGAACATTATGTGTTGGAAAATAGAAAAAGAGTTCAGCCATCAGTGGACAGAGGGAACAAACAGTCCCTAGTGCGGCTGTCCTTTTTTCATGTTCTGCTATATCTTGGAGCAAGGAGGAGAAAGAGTATGTGAAATGAAATGTTTTGTCTTTTTATAGACTTAAACAATGCTACCTAACATCTGTTTGATGAAACCAAGTGGACTAATAAAATTTCTGGTACTTTTATTACTAGCTGTTGTGGTGTCCTCCCTCTAAAGAGTCTATGTTGGACTCTTCCATCTACTATAAGATTAGTAGGAGAGAAGGCCTTGGAGGAACAGTAAAATAGATTGAGCGCAGGTCATCTGACACACACTCACTAGTCGTGTAATACTCTTCTGTTGTACTTACTGTTTAATATATGATATATCTGCAACACTTGTTAGGTTATTTCTTTAACCATTTATTTGGTCACAACACTAGCATTATGGGAAAAAATTTTTTTTCCTTATTTTTTATTATTCCTTATTATTTTATTTATTGATTTTATTTCACCCCCCGACTCTGATGACATATTTCAACTTCCTCTTCTTGAGGATGGATATGATGTCTTACAATGGGCTTGTTACTTGTTTGATGGTCTCTACATACAAAATACTTAGAATGGTTCTGTAACATCTAATTTCAAGTTGTTATGTGTATGAAAATTTTACATAATTGAGTAACAAAGAGGATAAAAATACAGTATGCATGTAAAAGAAAGAAGACATTAAAAGTTAGGTATTGCGTGTGCGATACACACCTCTGTGGGTGAGTGTGTGTGTGTGTGTGAAAATTCAGTCACTTGATGAAAGATATCTCCATGTCCAGGACAAGGTTGGTGTTGTCACTTCAGCATACTGAAAGAAAAAAGAGAGAAAGGAACAAGAAAATAGGAGGGTCACGTTTTTATAACTGTTTAATGGTGCTTAATAACTTTTTGTAACTGTTTAATGGCATTTTTATAATTGTTTAATTTAATCTCTAATTGAACTTTTTATAACTGTTTAATGGCATTTTTATAACTGTTTAATAACATTTAATAACATTTTTATAACTGTTTAATGACATTTTTATAACTGTTTAATGCCATTTAATAACATTTTTATAATTGTTTAATGACATTTTTATAACTGTTTAATGGCATTTAATAACTTTTTATAACTGTTTAATGGCATTTTGGCAAAGCCAAGTGGAGGTAACCCACAGTTCTAGGAGTTCTATGTGAAAAGTACTCGCAACACAAATAAAATCTCTATCCAGGCATAATGTTCTCTATAAAATGTTAAATGAAGAAGGTATACATTATTCTGTTGTCTATGAAGCCAACAGAATAATGTATGCAAGAGAGAGACTTTTGTTCTACAAAACGGAAAATATATAAAAACACAGATAATTTGCAAACAAAAGCAACAACCTGACCATTATTATTAATTCATTTACAATGTTAATTAGCAAGGTCTCTTTGTACAAGAAAAAAATCTGGGTTAAAATTAAAATGAAAAAAAAAACCATAGAAATAATGTTAAAATGGAAACAAAATTACTTGAATCATTCATGTGTGGGACAATAAAATCAAGGCCACAAATAGAAAATAAAAAAATAATTTCATGGTTTGTTTCTCTGGTTGTTTGGTGGAATATTTATTAATAAATTTTTTATCATAGTAATGTAATCTTATGAAACACTGAAACAGTATTTCAATCTTTTGATCAAAATGGCTTACTCTTAGGCAACTAATATAAAGGTCATAATAAGTGGGGTGGTCAGAATTTTTCTTAATATGGGGGTCTTAATAAAGGCAGGTATCAGAAAATGATTTAAACGTCAAAAAGTGTAAAATTAATAAACCCTGGGGAAGGGAATTTACTCAATAAATAAATAAATAAATAAAAAAATAAAAAAATAAATAAATAGATAAATAAATAAAAAATAAATAAATAAAAAAATAAAAAATAAATAAATAAAAAATAAATAAATAAATGAATAAAAAATTAATAAAGAAATAAATAAAAAATAAATAAATAAAAAATAAATAAATAAATAAAGAAATAAATAAAAAATAAATAAATAAAAAAAATAAAAATAAAAAATAAATAAATAAATGTCCTCTAACTCCTAACTGTTTATTAGATACCTAGGATTAGTTTATAAAAAAAAAATAATAAAAAATGTCTTTTGATTTTAAGCATTTTTTTTACACATCTGATTTTAATATTTTTCATTGTTCATATACTTTTGTTTAGGAAAATGAATGACAAAGTGGAAAAAATTCTGTGTAACAATTTTTGTTCTCGAGAAGGCCTTCAGAAGACTAAAGTAATGTTTTTGTTAATGTTATTGTATATATGGAGAGAGGGATGGGAAGATATAAAAATGCAAGCCTTGGTTATAATTATGTATTGACAGGAAACACAGAAGATATTGGAATGCTGAAATTTAATTTTTTTTAGACGTGTCTAGGCATATTCAGCCATATATCTTTGTCTTTTTCTAATACATTGTTTCCATTTTACTTTTGTTTTTTTTTGTTCCTTCTTTCATGAGAATATTTTTCTAAAACTCATTGTTAATATGTTACATTGAATAAAATAGTCTGAAAAAAAGACTTGAACAAGCCAGATCAGGTTCATGCCTTATAATAAGAATCAAACCCATCTTAGCACTTACTCTTGATAAAGAAGTGTTATAATCTACTGTTTTAGGAAAAAGACAATAAAATCCTTTCTGATTAAAAATTGAAAGAATGATTCTATCATTTTGTTGTTTTTATCCTTATCGTTTTTAAATACTCCACATTGTAACAGCAGTAGTTTTGTTAGGAAAGGAACCGCGAGGAAAGTTGGCTCTCTGTGACGCACCAGGAAATTTTTCTCCCCTGAATCGATACTTCAAATATACAAAACAACCATTCGCCCTTGCATGGAGTATTGCTGCCATATATGGGCTGGAGCACCTTCTGCTTACCTCGGAGTTCCTGACAAGATCCAGAGACGGATATGTAATCTAATTGGCCCTGATCTGGCGTCTCATCTGCAGTCACTCTCTCACAGATGCACGTCACCTCTCTCTGTCTTTTCTACAAATACTTCCATGGTAATTGCTCTGATGAGCTGCTTTCACTGGTCCCCAGACTCCATGAATTCAAGCGCCCTACGAGGCTGGCATCCTGCTCCCAACCTTACACTGTAGAAACTTTTAAATGTAGCCGTCTTTTCTACTCCAATAGCTTCATACCTCGCACCTCTCGCCAGTGGAACACCCTCCCCAATTACTGTTTCCCTGAGAGCTATAATCTCCAACTATTAAAATGTAATGTCAACCGACATCTCCAGTTACCTTGATCTACCCACTATCCCTCTCCTCGTCCTTTCTTCTATCATTCCTATCTGCTCTTGCTCCAAATCTTCCGCAACCCCCTGCATTCTAGTGGCTTCACGCCTTGCTTGGAGCATAATGCTTAAAAAAAAAAAAAGATGTATATTTAAGACTCGGAAATTAGTGCATTTTTAATACACTTTTATCTTAAGGAATTAATTTCACTTTTAAGTAAAATTTCATTCTGTAACCCCTTCCCTGGTGTAGATGTGTATATACATTTTTACCAAAAGTCTCTTTTTCAGATATGGACAAATAAACACATCCAAAACATAACATTCAAAAACTAGCTACAGACATGTTTATACATCGATCTTGATTTTTTTTTTATGTCCTTCTGGGCTCGAAACAAGTCCAATTGTCAACTCATATGTCTGATAGAGATGTTAGCCTGATATGGAGCACTTTATCCCATAAATATAGCACACCTTAAGACAATATCTCTTCATATATATATATATATATATATATATGTATATATATAAAAAAATATATAGAAAATAGGAAAGAACTCGTTAGGTAAATAATTCAAAGTTCTTTAGTATTTTTGTTATTATTTTAAAAAAACAGTGCTCGATACAAAAGTAAAAGCCTAAATATAATTATTTATTTAAAAATATGATTCCATTGCTACATAAGAGTTCTCATGTTTCAAAACAAAAGCAAAAACTTCAATATAATTATTTGAATTAAACTGAATTAAAAGTACCAAGCTCTGTTCCATCAAAATTTTATTGAAGATGGAACAGAGCTTGTTTTGAAACATGAGAATAATTATATTAGCAATGGAAATCAGAACTTTATTCAATGGGAATCATATTTTTCAATAAATAATATATATATATATATATATATATATATATATATATATATATACATGATTGGGGTAAGAAATACAACAATTACAATTTCTTATAGAGAAATGCTGAAGATATTGAGACTCTTAGCTTTTCATAATTTTCATTTTTATCACTACTGTTTTTTTAATATCTCACATTGTAGTCGCAGTATTTTTTTTTTACAAAAGAAAATATATTGTATAATCCTAGATATATGTTTAAGATTCTGAAATTAGTACACTTTCTATACATTTTTCCCTTAATGAATTAATTTATCTTTTAATTAACATTATTAGACTGAATAAGTCCTTTCAAAGGATAAGACACATAACAGAATTTTTTTTCCTATTTCGTCATTCAGTTATCCACCACATCTATGGGGGCATTGAGAAACTTGAAACTTCCTATTTGTTTATTTTTGTTCATTAGAAATTTCTGATGAATATTATTACAACCAACTCAGTGCTAAGTGACTGCAGCAATAGATCAAGTGACCAATGTTGTTATACAATACAATCACTTCTTGGCAGCCATTTTTATTATCAACCATGATGAGTCATCACATCAAACTGTCTGTTCATCTCACAAGGATCAACTGCCATTCAGTTATCTATTTCTTTAGTCGCCTTGTCAATGTTTGGACAATGCAACAGCTAAAAAGAAAGCAAAAAACAAAAAATAGAAAATGGCTCTTTTTGTTTTATTCTAATCTGGCTGTTTCAAATCTCTGATTCTATTCTTATTTTGTCATCAGATATTATCAGTGTCACTAACTTGAAGAAATCAGATCAAGTCAGGATAATTTGGGCCAATTACAAAATGCTGTTAATGAAAAAATGTTTTATTTTTATTTTAGCTAATGAAAGACAAAAGAAGTAGCACTGTTTTTAATATGTTTTTGTATTTGGGCAAGTTTAAACGTACAATGTGATACTTGTCCAATCTTTCCACAAGCTGACCAATGATTACCCCATGTTGAATTCTGATAATCTTATCGGTGTGAACCAAATGCTAGAGAAGGACGTGCTTCATGGTCACAATTTAACACAATTAAAGACAAATGCCATATGGAAAAATAGGAATGTGAACACTTTTTCTCATGTTATATGTGAGTGTTTATTCAGGGCTTTGATTGCTTGACCAGACAATTTTTCTTTGTGTATCTAGTATTGCACTTTATTCATAAAGTCTAGATACCAAAGAGGAAAGTGCATCAGAACAATTATCATGAAAATATTTATAGAAAAGGCCCAGGGAATCCACATTGGTGGTAGGAAAGTTATTGAAGCTGAGCTGGTTTGGTTTGTTTTGTTTTACAGCATATCAACCTCAATGGGTTATCTAATGCCAACAAGATTTTTATTGCTGGTAACATTTTTACCTATCTATCTATCTATCTATCTATCTATCTATCTATCTATCTATCTATCTATCTATCTATCCTAGTATATGTTAGTTTGGATTGTTTTGTATTACGGCATATCAACACCTCAATGGGTTATTTAATGCCAACAAGATTTTTATTGCTGGTAATATTTTTATCTATCTATCTATCTATCTATCTATCTATCTATCTATCTATCTATCTATCTATCCTAGTATATGTTAATTTGGATTGTTTTGTTTTACGGCATATCAACACCTCAATGGGTTATTTAATGCCAACAAGATTTTTATTGCTGGTAATATTTTTATCTATCTATCTATCCTATTAAATGTTAGTTTGGATTGTTTTGTTTTACGGCATATCAACACCTCAATGGGTTATTTACTGCCAACAAGATTTTTATTGCTGGTAATATTTTTGTTTTCAAAAATTTATTGCTGGTAGTAACTTTTTTACAAAGTATTTCTGTTATTAAAACTTATTTTTACACTTTCATAGTATTTTGAGTCAGGTTGGTGTGTGTATGTGGGGGGGTCAACTATTTGCCCATACCTGAGACCCTAACAGGTGCTACCATCTCAGGTCAGGGTGGACCTGGGAACACCAGCAATTAACAGGTGGTTCTATGTTCCTCAAAACTTCCTGATCAGAGGCCTTATGTAGTTTATCGTCTTACTCAGGACTCGGGTGTAGTTTATCATCTTACCCAGGACAATTGAAGCTGAGATGCTTCATTGAATCTCATCATTTTGTTCATTCTTAACAATGATTTCCTGATAACATTGCTCACCACCCAAATGACTGGGACAAATTACAAATTTTCACATCAGTTATGTGTCACATAATTTGCACTTAAAAGGCCTTTGTCTGTGTAACCTCATCCTCATCACTATTGTCATAACTTCTATCATCATCATCATCATCATCATCATCATCATCATCATCATCACTATTGTTCATAACAATTCTTTTTAAAACTGAAAATTCTCTTTTGATAACAAGAAAGTTTGTGACTTGACCTAGGTGAACTTCTTTACTGAAACTGTGACTGATGCTGTTGGGGGTCATGAGACATGAAATACTCAGCAGAATATCCATTGTCTAAACTGGTGTTGGGTCAAATTCTGAGTCAAGAGTTTGAGAGAGAGAGAGAGAGAGGAGTAAAGTGGGAAAAGAGAGATAGAGCAGTGAAGATATATTATGGACATCATTAGCAATATATTCAGGTTTTTGGACTCAATTTTCTTATACTCATAATAACTGATACATTTCTTTACAAATTTCATACACAAAATGGACCAACTATTATGGGACAGAAGCAATATATTAGTATATATATAATACTACCTCTGTCCCAAAATGTTTGTTATATTTACATACATATTTCATATGCTAAATGGATGAAATTTTATGGGACATAAGCAGGATATTATTACTATTTATATAATACTACTTCTGTCCCATAATGGTTGTTACATTTGCATATATAGTTCATACACTAAATGGATCAACTATTATGGGACACAAGCAGTATATTATTATTTATATAATACTACTTCTGTCCCATAATAAATGATACATTTGCATACATATTTCATATACAAAATGTATCTACTATTATGGGACACAAGCAGTATAATATTATTTTATATAATACTACTTCTGTCCCATAATAAATGATACATTTGCATACATATTTCATATACAAAATGTATCTACTATTATGGGACACAAGCAGTATAATATTATTTTATATAATACTACTTCTGTCCCATAATAAATGATACATTTGCATACATATTTCATATACAAAATGTATCTACTATTATGGGACACAAGCAGTATAATATTATTTTATATAATACTACTTCTGTCCCATAATAAATGATACATTTGCATACATATTTCATATACAAAATGTATCAACTATTATATGACAGAGGTAGTATATTATTATTTATATAATACTAACTGTCCCATAATAGTTTGATACATGTGATTTGCATTTTATATATAAAATATAACAACTATTATGGGACAGTAGTAGTATTTCTTTTATTTCACTGAATGGATTTTATTTGCCAATAAAGAATTTTTCGGTGATTGGCTCCCAAATTTTAAAAATTACATTTTTAGCAAAATACAAAATGAATAAAAACTGATACTGAATCTCAAAGTGTTGATTTAATGTTTGTTTTTCTGGTGAAATCACCCCCCCCTATCACCCAAAAAAAAACAAAAAAAAAACAGTTTCAATAAATCATTCAAAATCTCAAACAGAAACTCTGCAAGAATTTTGTCTGGCGAAGATTGATGTAAACAGTACCACAGACAAATGGAAAGTTGTGAAACATAGACAAATGAAAAAAAATAATCACGTCTCCCCAACACTTAGTTTTTTTTTTAATTCATCATTGCTGCTGACAGCAAAGGCAAGCAAAAAGTAATAACATTAAAAGTGAAAATGTAGCCATTATGCTTATTATTATTTTGGGAATTGGATGGGGGGGTGTAGGGGTTTCAACTGAAGGATTCATTAGCAAAACTAACTCCACTTTAGTCTGAAGCAGAAAAAAAAAGAACAGGACTCACCCTCTCTTCCTCTCTTTTGCACTTCCGTTTTTTACACCCTTATAGAGACTTGATATCAGCATTGGGCAATCCCAGCTTTCTGTGGACGGTGGACATATTCTAGTATTGCCTTATGAGAAGCAAACTCAGAAAATAATAACTTCACCCTGAATACAAGGCTTGATGGGTCAAGGTTTCAAACAATTTCAGCATTGCTAATCTGTAATTTCTCTCCATGGAATTCATTCACATATATTCATCTCTTTCAGTTTGATAATTCACACTGTCTTTTCTATCTCATTGTTTGTCTGTCTATTACATTTTCTTTATCTATCTATCTATCTATCTATCTATCTATCTATCTATCTATCTATCTATCTATCTATCTATCTATCTATCTCAGACTGTTCATTATCTATCTCAGTCTGTTCATTATCTGTCTGTTCAATATGTGTTTCAGTCAGTTCATTATCTATCTATCTATCTATCTCAGTCTGTTCATTATCTATCTATCTCTGATCATTATCTATTTGTCTCAGTCAGTTCAGTATCTATCTATCTATCTATCTATCTATCTATCTATCTATCTATCTATCTATCTCAGACTGTTCATTATCTATCTCTGTTCATTATCTGTCTGTTCAATATGTGTTTCAGTCAGTTCATTATCTATCTATCTATCTATCTATCTATCTATCTATCTCAGACTGTTCATTATCTATCTCAGTTTGCTCATTATCTGTCTGTTCAATATGTGTTTCAGTCAGTTCATTATCTATCTATCTATCTATCTCAGTCTGTTTATTATCTATCTATCTCTGATCATTATCTATTTGTCTCAGTCAGTTCATTATCTATCTATCTATCTATCTCTCTATCTATCTATCTATCTATCTATCTATCTGTTCAATATATATCTGTTTCAGTCAGTTCATTATCTATCTATCTATCTATCTATCTATCTATCTATCTATCTATCTATCTGTTCAATATATATCTGATTCAGTCAGTTCATTATCTATCTATCTATCTATCTATCTATCTATCTATCTCTCTATCTATCTATCTATCTATCTATCTATCTATCTATCTATCTGTTCAATATATATCTGATTCAGTCAGTTCTATCTATCTATCTATCTATCTATCTATCTATCTATCTATCTATCTATCTCAGTCTGTTTATTATCTATCTGTCTCAATCTATTCATTATCTATCTATCTATGAACTGTTTATTCTTTTTTTATATAAACTGTAGGGAAACAACCTTCTCAATGTCTCTTGAGTATAATCATTTTCTGTTTTTTGGTCTAGAAGTTAAGATAAGGACGTATAAACATCATTATAATGGTTGAGCTCAAGTCAGTCTTGCACAGTTGGAACAACCAAAGAAAAATTTGTATTTACTTCATGGGCAGAGTTTTTGGAAGATTCATATGAATTTCATATGTTAGAAAATGGAAAGAAGTGTTTGTGGAGTCACTCACATCATACCAACAAGGATAACGACATATTCACATAGGTGAAAACATACACAGAAATAACAGTAAAAACTTGTTAAATTGTAAATTAAAATCATACAATTTTATTTATTTTCCTGTAGTATTGTATGTGTATTTTAGTTACAAGTGTTTTAAGGTTGCATGTGATAAAAGGAAGAAGTCAGTTCGTATTATAATAAGCAATGAAGGAGAAGAGATGGACGTCTTGACTTTCCAGTGGTCAGTAGCAACGAGACTGAATTCAGCGTCTTTTGACGTGAAGTCTGTTTTCTGGCAGTAAAAGTTTCTGTTGCATTCTGGGAGGAATTTCATTTTTCTTTTTAGTTGAATAGGGTCATGCTGTCACAACACTGAATTTTTAGATGCAATTTCAGTTGCTAAATGTATTCGGATGATCACTAAAAAATTTGAAATTTGAAAATACATTACAGTTTACACTGAGTAGTTTCACAGGACACATGCAACTTACATGCCTGCAACTTTGTGCAGGCCTGGTCTATATATATATATATATATATATATATATATATATATAGTGTGTGCAGATGTATAAAACACATATAAAGTATATACATGCACATATGCATAAAGTTTGTGTTGCATTCTGGGAAAACTTTCATTTTTCCTTTTTGGCTGAATAGGTTCACTGATTTTTTTGAATGCAATTTTAGTTGCCAAATGTATTTGGATGTTCATGAAGAAATTTGCTATTTTGAAAACCCTTTACAATTTACACTGGGTAGTTTCACAGAATATATGCAACCTACAGGCTGGCAATTTTGTGCAAGCCTGGTCTATATATATATATATATATATATATATATATATAAACATATATACTATATACATGCACATATGCATATTATATTATATTGGCACAAAGTCTTTTTTTTTAGCAGGAAACATTTCTATTGCATTTTGGGGGAACTTTTAATTCGTTTTTTTAGGGTCACTGAAATTTTTAAATACAATTCTAGTTGCCAAATGTATTCGGATGACCACAAAGAAATTTGCTATTTTGAAAACCCCTTATAGTTTACACTGAGTAGTTTCACAGGCCACATGCAACTTACAGCCCCACAATTTTGTGCAGGTCTAATCTATCTATCTATCTATCTATCTATCTATCTATCTCTATACATATATGTGTGTGTTTATATACATCTGCACATCATATATATATATATATATATGATGTGCAGATGTATATAAACACATATATACTATATATATACACATACATATATGCATATTATATCCAAATGACTATTTCCCCACATATGTATATTTTAAATACGCATGTATGCATAATTAAACATATATATTATATACATATGTAAATATACACACATATCATATATATATATATATGCATATACATATATATTATGAACATGCATTATTATGTACATACATATACAGGGTAACTGAAAAATAACTCCCTATTTTATGTATGAATGGCCACCCAGGAGTCCTGATTTAACACCCTGTGACTTTTTCTTTGGGGGGTTGTATAAAGGAGCAAGTCTAATATACCAAACCAAAACTTTGGAAGAACTTAAAGGGCGAATACAAGAAGTTATGTCTTCCATACCACAAGAGTTCCTGGTGAAATCAGCTAAAGCAATTTCTAGGTGGCCTCAGAAGCTGGTAGCAAAATCTAGTGCCCATATCAAATTTTAAATAAAACCTCATGTTAAACACTTTCCTCTCATATCCATTTCTTGTAAAAATTGTTGTTAATAAATAAATTACAAACCTCTCCTCTATGGACCCCCCAATCGATGAACTTCAGATGCAATGGACAAAATCTGAAGGCAAAATAAAAATATTTGCAGGTAAAAATACTTCCAAATCATCAGTGATGTATTTCAAAGTTTGCGTGCTTAGCAGAACGAGTCATATTAGTTTTCAAAGTGACCTTTCAATTTCAAAGTGGGCTTTTCAATTGTAAACAAGACTGGTGTACAGTATATAAAGTATGATACATTAGCATGTGCATGAGAAAGTAACTGTGAGAAAACTATTATTTTTAGTTATTTTGCTTAATATATCTATATTAAATATATATTTATTTATGCCATATATACATGTTTATATAGGTACCTCCACGAGATCGCTAAAAAAAGAGCATATCATGATGAAAAAGATGCCAAACTTGATAAAAACAAAATTTTATTGTCTAAATGTTTATGTTATTATTAAGAGGACAGATCAAAGTATTTTTGGGGTATATTTTTACATTTTTTAATCGTTCCTAGCATGTCTGAAATTTTCATTAAAAATCTTATTTTTTTGAGTCAACAAAATTGACAGATAATCGTTCATGGCAACCAATTTTTTTCCATTTTATAAAAAAATTAAAATCTCAGTTTGAAATTCTTTTAAAAATCAATTATCATTTTTTCAAAACTTATTTTAAGAAAATCAGAAATTATAATGTTTATTTAAAATATTTTGAATCAAGCTTAACTTAGCTTCTGCACCAAAAAGATGTAATTTGAAAATAAAACAAAGCAGGTCATAAACTTTTGCATCACTTGACAGGTGATGAATGACATATTGATGAATTACGTGAGGATAATTTGTTCTACAGAAGGAGAAAAGTGAAATTATTTACATTTAAGTGAACAAATTATTTACCTCGTTATTTTTAAAGAAAACTTTCAGTGCTCTAATTTTTTTTTTGTTTTTTGTACTTAGCTTTAAACTTTATATTTATGATGCTTTATGGAAAATATATTATAAAGAAATTAAAATAAGACTGTGAAGAGTGAGATTAAATTTCATAAGAAAGGTATCTAATTAATTTATAGGTACCTTTCTTATGAAATTTTATCAGAAGTGTACATAAAATACTATAATTTTATGTACATTTACTACATTTTACTGTGTTATTTGTATTTCCATTCATTTTATTATTAATTTTGATATTTCATTTATGGAAAAATCTCATAACTGAGATTAATATAAAAATAAGATCTTATAAATTTCATAAGATGATACTGATACTTGTAGGTACCCTTCTTGGTTGAAATTGAAAAATCAAATTAACTTCACATGTGTTTTGCAAAAGTAATGGCCTTAACAGTGGAAAACAATGCTTAACTCAAATAACGCAACTTAATTTTGTTCTGGTTGGTCTTCTGTACTTTATAATTACAGCCCAATTATAAACACAAAATTACATTTCTCAATTACTACGTGTCTTCTGATTAGTCAAAATGATACAATTTACAACGAAAAAAAAGATCTATCTCATAAGGACACTTACGAAAGTGGATGCGGCTTTTAACTAATTTTATAATATTTTAACAACTTAAATGTAAAAATCTATTATAATTAAAAAAATAACAAATAATTGTATTAAAAATTCATTTTTCATCAAAAAAAATTCTTTGCTTTCAGAAAACATTGTCCATATTCATAAAAACAACTTAAAACAAATAAAAGCATTTGAAATTAAATAATATATTTGTTTTATTGAGTTTTGTATGTTACAATTCAGAGCTGATTTTCAGGTGGGGTGGGGGGTCCAATTAAAAACAAAAAAAAAACATGATTTGCATTCCTCAAAGCATTGTGCTTTTTAACTATTGTAATTACTAAAGTAGACTCAATCGAATTTCTGGAGTGTTCATAAAATTAGTTATAGGGTGGGGTAATAAATATAAAAAAAATATTTCTGCAATGACGTTGATAAAAAAAAACCTATTTATAATAATTTCCATCATCTGTGAATGGTTTCTGAAAATTTCATTAACATCTGGCAATTATTTTTATTTTTGCAAGATTTTCCAAATTAATGTGTGTCATACAAAAAAAAAACATGTTAAAAATTGTATATGTTATTTTACTAGTTCCAGTGATACAAACATTCAATACCATCACTTGATAAGGCACCAGAAGTGTTGAAATAAGATGGCTATTTTTGTAAAGATTTTATAACATGTTTATGTTATAATTTTCAAATAAATTATATTTGCTCTACTCTGTATTGTGCACTCTTATAAGAATAGTATTTTTGGTTATTAGAATTTATTCCATATACACCAATACTATACTTGTATGTATATATATATATATATATATTTTATACAAATATTATGCGAAAAAAACACTGTTAAGGAGAGAACAAAATAAAGAAGGCAGAAGATAATGATCCGCATTGCATTTAAGTTATGGAAGATCAAAAGAGAGTGGAAATCAAGAAGGAAAAGAGAATGAAACTGAGATGCCAGATCAAGACCAATAACATTGCAGATTCTTCTTTGGATTTTACCAAAAATCTCTAAAAATATAACAGGAGCACCAGACCACAATATTCAAAGCAAGGACAAATGGTAGTCTTATAAAACATGTAAAATAGATTCTGGCAAGAAAAATTGTCTAGCACAACACTGTAAACCAATTTTTCTAGCAGCAGACTTAGCAATTGATACAATAAAATCTTTCCACTTCATATCAGCAGAAAATTTTGATCTAAGAAGGCACAAGGAGTCCCTCTCTTGAAGATTAGCATCAGCCATGCATATGGAAGGCAAAAAAAGTTCTCTCAAAAGAGAGCAATTTTGTTTTGGAGGTGTTAAAATTAACCAGATAAGACTTACTATTAATCGAGGAGTAAATGGTTGCCTTATCAGTATAGATACTGAGTTGAAAACTGATGACATTAGGAAGATTGTTGATGAAAATTAAGAACAATGTATGTCTAAGAATAGAGCT